TTAAATTAAATTAAACCGTAATTTTTATTATATATTCAAGTATTTGTAAAAAAAAATTTCAAGTCGAAATATTCAAAATTGCCTTCGTGGCACTTACTTCAAGCGCAATTTCGTCCTTTTTTAGGTGCACAAACACGCGGTGTACATGAAATCTCACGTCTGGGTGATTTAAAACAAAATAATATGGTTGCCATCTCTATATACATAGTATGTATTGACCTACTCTCGTCTAACGACAAACGATTTTGTCAATAAAAGATTTTGGCGCCGAAAATAAAATTCTTGAAATTTTTTCAACTTTTTTTTTCCATTTGATTTTATTATTGTTTATAAGAATTAAATAAAAAAAAAGAGATATCGACAAAATTCTTTGTTGTCAGACGAGAGTAGGTCAATACATACTATGTATAGAGATGGCAACCATATTATTTTGTTTTAACCCTTTAAAGCCCGAATTATTTCCACCGATTCGATTTCAACCACACTTGGTATATAATGGTTTTTGGGGTCGCTGATTACGAATCTGAAGTCAAAATTGCAAAATTCAAAATGGCGGATCCAATATGGCGGACGAAAAAATAAAAAATAATGGGATTTATATGAAACTTGTCACTCGGGGGTTTTTGGGGTCGCTGATTACGAATATGAAGTCGAAATTGCAAAATTTTAAATGGCGGATCCAATATGGCGGACGAAAAAATTAAAAATTAATAAGACTTATATGAAACTTGTCACTCGGGGGTTTTTGGGGTCGCTGATTACGAATATGAAGTCAAAATTGCAAAATTTAAAATGGCGGATCCAATATGGCTGATAAAAAAAAATAAAAAATAATGGGATTTATATGAAACTTGTTACTCGGGGGTTTTTGGGGTCGCTGATTGCGAATATGAAGTCAAAATTACAAAATTCAAAATGGCGGATCCAAAATGGCGGACGAGAATTAAAAATTAAATAGGATTTACTTGAATATTGTTACCAGCTGACTATCATTTGTTCTATTTCATTCAAGTCATGCGCTCCAGGGTTGTCAATTGTTTTTATTGATTGGCCAGCTGATTTTCATTTGTTCTTTTTCGTTCGAGTCAAGCGTTCCAGGTTTCCTTTCACAAATGGATTAAATATCTTACTTTTATTAAACATAATTCGCTCTATTAAATCCACCATTATGATTCTTAACATTTTAACCTCAGAAACCCCAAAAACTCTAAGCATCAAATTTAATGTCAATCCCATTAATTTGTTATTTTTTTGTCTTTCATATTGTATCCGCCATTTTGAATTTTGCAATTTTTACTTCATATTCGTAATAAGCGACCCCAAAAACCCCCGAGTGACAAGTTTCATATATCTCCCATTATTTTTTTGTCCTCCATATTGGATCCGCCAAATTAAATTTTGCAATTTTGACTTCATATTCGTAATCAGCGACCCCAAAAACACCCGAGTGACAAGTTTCATATAAATCCCATTATTTTTATTTTTTTTGTCCGCCATATTGGATCCGCCATTTGAATTTTGCAATTTTCACTTCATATTCGTAATCAGCGACCCCAAGAACCCCCGAGTGACAAGTTTCATATAAATCCCATTAATTTTTATTTTTTTTGTCCGCCATATTGGATCCGCCATTTTGAATTTTGCAATTTTAACTTCATATTCGTAATCAGCGACCCCAAGAACCCCCGAGTGACAAGTTTCATATAAATCCCATTATTTTTTATTTTTTCGTCCGCCATATTGGATCCGCCATTTTGAATTTTGCAATTTTGACTTCATATTCGTAATCAGCGACCCCAAAAACCCCCGAGTAACAAGTTTTAATCGAATCTGATTAATTTTTTAAAATTTTTTTGTCCGTCATAGGAGAAAATGTATCTTGACACTTTTTTTATTTATTATTATTTTAATTATTTATTATTATTTTTTTACTTTTGTTTTTTTTAATTATCTGCTGGAAGAGTTTTACTAGAGCTAAGAATTTAAAATTTGTAGTAATATGTACTAGTTTCAAAGTTATGATGACTTTAATGCATTTGTGGTACAGCGTATGTACCACTGGGCGTTAAAGGGTTAAATCACCCAGACGTGAGATTTCATGTACACCGCGTGTTTGTGCACCTAAAAAAGGACGAAATTGCGCTTGAAGGAGTGCCACAAAGTTAATTTTGAATATTTCGACTTGAAATTTTTTTTACAAATACTTTTTGAATATATAATAAAGATGACGGTTTAATGTAATTTAATGTAAAAGTCGTATTTTGTTGGAAAAAAAAATCCGCAAAAATCGGCCAGATATTTTTCCCTTGTCACACATTAGACTTTTCCCTTTTAAATGAATTCCTCGAGAATTGTTATTATTCTTGGAAATTTTACTAAAAATCTTTGAAAGAATTCATCAATTATTTTCAATTCAATTGGAATAATATTTGTTCATGGAATTTAATTATTATTAACAAGTTAAACAAAATTTTGTCTATATATAGAATTCACTTGTTTTTAAAAAGTTTTAAAATTTGATTTTTTTAAATTATTTTTATTTATTATTTTTATAAATAATAAAATTTTCACAGGAATTCAATTATTTAAATTATTTAATTTAATTTAATTTTAATTATTTTTAAGACAATTTAAAATAAATTCTTTGAAAAATGCAAATCATTATTGAAAATCTTATGAAAATTCTTGGTAAGAATTCAATTATTTAAAAAAAAAAAATTTTTTTTTTATAAAGCTTTTTATAAGAATTGAATATTAAGAAATATTTAATTATTCAATAAATTATTTATTCTTGTATTTAAATAATTCAATTTTAGTAAAACTTTCTAAAAAGAAATGATTTAAAATTGAATTTCAGTTAAAGTTTTAGATATAATAATTGAATATATAAGAAGCGTTATAATGCGAATTTTTAGAAATAATTAAATTGCAAAAGATTTTTTTAATTTGAAATCTTTGAAAAATGTAATTGAAAAACTCTAATAATGGCTTCGTCCATAAATTACGTCACACTTTTTAGGGGTGAGGGGGTCTATGAAAATGTGACGTAATTTATGGACAAAGGGGGGGGTAGGGACCTTTTATTTTGTTATGTCACACTTTATATATTCTATTTATTATAATGAGAAAATTGTAATAAATAAAAATATCAAATATTTTTCTTGTTTTTAAAATAAAAAAAAAAAAAAAGGTACTACATAATTATAAAGTAACTTTATTTCTGTAAAATTAGATATTGACAGTGATTCATTTTGGAAAAATTTATTAAAGGGGGGTTTACGAATTGTGACGTAATTTAGAGGGAGGGGGTTCCTTCAGATGTTACGTAGTGTGACAACAAAGAGGGGGAGGTGATCAAAAATGGACTAAAAACGTGTGACGTAATTTATGGACGAAGCCTAATATTAAAATTTGTATACATATTGAAATAAAATTATTAAAGTGTTTAATAATTTTATTAAAAAATTTTAACAAAAAAAAGAATTAAATTTACACTGAAAAAAAAAAAATTTCATTCAAATGACCGATTAAACCGGGCCGCTTTTACTAGAGTGGGGGGCAGTGAGAGTGAGAGAGACGCAGTTCAACTCCCTACTCTCTATTCGTTCGTATGAAAATTCGTATAATTTAGTTATTTTTTTTTTTTTAACTTTCTGTCAATATATTTATAGTTTGGTGCGGTCAAAAAATGTCATGTTTTTTCTATTCACTTATTGTTTCATCTAATTGAATACTTTGGTAGTTTTATTTCAAAATCTGACGATTAGTTATCATATAATATAAATAATTATTAAACAAAATTAATACATGCATTGGGTGCTCCCTCCATGCAAAATGTATAAACTTTGAATTCATTTCTTGAAGCTTTGAAACGGTCAAAATTAATGAAATTGGTTTCATTCTGTAGATGATAAATACTTTAGGAATAAGTATGCAAAATTTGAAAAAAAACCGGAGGAAAACCATTTTACGCGACTAATACCTTAACTGACTTTTATCAATTAAATATTTGATTCAAGTAAATATTTTTATTGTAGCTGTCAATTGATTAATTACTTGAATCAAATAAATTTTCTTTTCAGTGTAGAAGAAATCACTATAAAAATAGTTGTAAAATATTTAAAATATATAATCCTGATGTGGTAAAGAAATATCAATGTGACCTGCCTTTAATAATAGTTTCTAAATATGATCAAGTGAAAATTGAAAGTCGTTTATAAGAAAATATAATACTTTTTCCCATTATTCAATTTTTCATAGGTATACATATGTATTTTTGAGTGAAAATCACGTATTAAATAAAACTTTCTTACAAGAGTAAATTTTCACTTATTATTCAGATTTAAAGACTAAAATAATTGCATTATTTTAAACAAAAAAAATTTTTCTATTGAAATATTTTTAAATTAAAATCAAGTTGTGCACACAAAGTTTCAACCTTTAGCAAAAAACAGAGAGACTTTTTCCTCAATATTTTTTTTAAAGACTATTCAAACTAAAAAACATTTATATTATTACCAATAAATTCCCCATTAAATCAAGTATTTCTTCAAGTGCGAATTTTAGCAATTTTTATATATATATATACAAAAAAATTTCTACTCATCACTTTCGATGGTAATTATTTGTGTCTTCTATAAAAGAGAAATACTAATTTAAACTACAAACACGCTTAATCACAATTTTTCATTTCTTGGAAATAAATACTCGACTCGCTCTTTTTTCTCATGTTTTTTTTTACAACTTTGATTGTTTTTACTGATTATTTCAATATTAACAATTATCCTTTAATGCGCAAAGCGATCACATACACGGACTGCTATCGATTATTGTATACACAGGTTACTTTATGTAGGCTTAATCGTATTTGTCGATAAAATTGACCTCATTTCACTCTATGGTGCAAACGCACGATCGCATTAACAACACAGGTGTAAGAATTTAATTTTTCAAGAAAAAAAAAAAAAAAATTAAATATACTAAATAAATTTCTAGTTTTCTTAAATATGAATTTTTTTTAAATTGTTTTTTTTTTTTTTTTTTGAGAATGAATCAACTTACAATTTTACACTGGCGTTATAGAGAACATAATTGTACTAATAAATATGCGTTCACACATTCTGAGCATAATTCAACTTTTATATTATTAAAATCTTGGCTAAAATTTCATTACACGCTGGCAATTGAACTAAGGAAATGAAATCGTAAAATGGCACAATTTTTTTAAATCAACTAAAAAATTAATAATATAAAAATGATTGAAAATATAATATTTTTTACAGAATCGAAAATTCTTGCGCCGTTCACGTTTTCATCATCCCAAAGTAAAAGCTCCCTTTTTTAAAAAGGTGCATTTAATAATAAAAAAAAAAGAAAAACTCCTTATACAGAGCTTTTCGTTTCAAGTCCTTTTCACTCTGTATTTTTTCTTTGCGTATTATATAATTATGTTACAGTGAATAATCAAAATTCAATAAAAAAAAAAATCAGTTTAAAATTATTTTCTTCCATTTGACGTTAAATATATATATATATATATTTATAAGAACTCTCGAATCTATATTATCGCATTTTTTTCCTACTCTTGAACTTGTTTGCTTAAAATTCAAGTGTCCTTCTCTAAGCGTATGCTAAACATAGTTTTCTTAATATTAATAATTAATAGTAATAGTAACATACGTTTACCACTAACGAACGTACAATATTTATTCTCTAGAATATATATTTAATATATTTCTCGTATATTTAATATTTATACCCTCGTATTTTTATATTAATATATACACATATAGTATATTGCTATGCAATTCAGCGTTTTTTTTTATTCCTTATGGTATATATAATATTTATTTATATAATATATCTTGAAACATTTTCATTTATAATTACATTCATAGTATGTATAACGTGCTCCTTATTGCTCTATGAGGTTTATTTCTGACAAAACAGAGATTGTTGCTTTTTTTCCGGATGAGAAAGAAAAAAAAGTTGACAAAACTTTCCATCCAGAATTACGTACATGTTTAGTTTTTTGTAGACTCCCGCGCTTCTATTTTAATTATAATAGCAGTAGGTTTGTGGGCCTTTATTTTAAAAATTGACTTTAATAATATATACCAGTATATTATTTGTAAAAATAAAAAAAACTTTGATTGTTTCTAGCACATTCGGCATTACCTATACGTTTTTTCACTTGCTTTTAAAAGCCATAATATGACAATTGTGAATTAGAAAGCTCATTATTATAATAAAATTATTTCATTCATCTTGGAACGTACTAATTAAATGTTTTTTTCAAACTTTGTCCCAATTGAAAATAGTTTTTAAAAATTTCAAGTTTTCAAGCTCAATAGATTTTTTTGAAAAAATTTCTACATTCGAAGAAACTTGCGGTATCAACGTATTAATAATTTTTTTTGCGTATTTACAATTGCAATTTTCATTTATAAAAAACCTATGAATGTTGATTAATGTGAAACGTTTGTCGTATAAAAATGTAAGAATAAATATATAGCAAAACGAAATAACAACTCAAGTCCATTGAACTTGGGTATTTAGCCATATTTATACTAAAATTGCGAATCTGGAACACACACAACTTTTGTCTATTATTTCAATCATTCCCTGTAGCTTTTTTTTGAGCACCCTACTCTCTATACAATAAAGAACCCTATAGTACATTTTTTTTAATGCTTCGTTTTGCACCATAATTATTGCACTAATGTAAACGGTTAAAGTACGTATTTCGTCGAGTCCTGGCATTGGTAGGTTTATAATATCTTATCACAAACCGCTCCTCTAATACCTCTCCAAACCTCCGTGCACCTGTAACAAATAAAAATCAATTGTTAATCATCAAATGTTTAAAAATAATTAATAAAAAAAAAAAATAGTAAAAACAAAATGTAGTTTTAAGACTGAAAAAAGTAGTAAAATTTGACAAAATTTCCAACAATTACAAATATAATTCTTCCAACATTCAAATTTTTTTAAATAAATTGTTTAAATAAAATTATTTAAAATTTTAATAATTTTATTTAAATACTAGCTGCGATACCCGTGGGCTTCGACGGGTTATTAGTTATTGTTATTCCTACTTATATATTAATAGCTATACGATACACGTCTTCGACATGTTTCTTAGTATTTTTAAAAAGTTTTCCATTTAGAGTATTGATTAGTATTTAACCAACTACATTTAAACTAATTTTCTTGATGCGATTATTAATATTAATTAATGAAGAAGAAAACGAAATTTTAAGGAAAGTAAAAAGATAATGTTTAGAATTTTTAAAATCGCCCAAAGTGTGAAAACCATCATGGCTTAATAACGGCCCAGTACTGGCAAAATACAAAAACTAATATAAATTATTACATTTTTTATTAATTAACTAATTAATTTATCATATTTATACGTCTTTTATTTCACTTTGCTACACTCTGACGCGTGAAGTCAAGAAAGCTTAATGGTTTTATAAGCTACACTATTTATCGATATTGTATGATATTATTATGGCGAGGTACGTCCCATAATATTGGCAATTGTATTTTGCCATCATAGCAGATACAAAATTTTTGCTATTAATGTGCCATTATACTGAGCCGAACAACATCCCAATATTCTGAAACTGAAATTACCAACGCGTTTATTCGACGAAAATTTTTACTTTAGCTAATTTCTTATTTTAATATTAACAGCCCTTTAAAAAAATTACGAAAGGGTCACGGATTTCCCGAAATTCCTGGAAATTCAACTAAATTATTGTTTCCTCGCCTCGCAAGCATTTTTTTCTCTTAATAATCAGAAGCCATTTAAAAAAATTGCAAGAGGATTCAAGGCGAGGAAAGTAGTGATTTTTATTTTTTTGTCACGGATTTCCCAAAAATCCCAGAATTCAGTTTTATCCAATACTTTCAATTACAACTTGCCATCATAGATAGAAAAGTCTATCCTATAGGATAAATATTCTTACAATAAGAAGAAAATTAGTATTGTAAGAATATTTCCCACTTAATTTAAGTGGGGAATATTCTTGGCGCATATTTAAAAAGTTTTTCTTAAAATTAGAATGTAATTTTTTCAGTGTTTTGCGACAGGCCCGTTTTGCAGTCTTGGAATTTCACACTTGGAGCTTATAAAAAACCATTTATTAGCTTTTTTCCGAGAAGCACCACCACCACGTGGCGAGGTAACCACTATTATTATAGTTGTTTTTGGCAAGTTTTTAAATCCCGTGCAGAAATTGACCCAACAGGGCCCTGACCCCGCATGAAACCGGGACCCGACCCGTTCCTTGTTTCACCCAGGTCTGGACCCGGCCAGGCCCCTGTCAAAATTTCTACTCGGCATTATTTTCCAAGAGCTTAGAAAAACTAAAGAAATTCTTGTTAATTAAATTTGATAAAAGATATGAAACATTTCTCCATTTCAGTATTACTAAATTATCTTGGATCATAATTTGTAAAAACAAAAAACATCTTATTTAATAAAAGTAATAAGTAGGTAAAATAAAAAAAATTAGATATTAATATTTTCAATTTTTATGGGTAAAAATATTTAAACTTTTAAATTTTAGATTTAAAATTCCCATTTTTTTCTATTTTTATGATAAAATTGAAATTAAAATTACCAAGAAAACAAATTAATTAATTAATTAGAAAATATCAATACCATCAACTTAATGCAAGAATTAATTAATATTTAACCCTGTGAGTAGCAGTGATACATTTAATTCATATGAACATTTTTTTGTTAACTTTTGCATAACTTTCTTGATTTTAAAAACTGAATATTGAAACAATTTTTTTGGTCCAATGAGGCAAATTTCTTGCTTTAAATACTGGTCTTTAACTAAAAAAAAGTTTAATAACTTTCCATAAAAAGCTTGTTTAAAAATCAAGAATCATCATTTTTGTAGAAAAAATTTGATCAGAAAAAACGAAAAAAATTTCAAAATACATCTTTTTTTGAAATTTTAGTATAGAAATGAGTTGTTTTTATCTAAAAAAAAGTGAGCTAAGGATAGTTTTGCATCCATTTTATAAAAAATAAAAATTTTTCATTTTTTTTATTTTTCAAATTTTTTGAAAAAATGTTGTAACTTTCGTTCAAGTTAATATTTTTTAATCGGATTTGGCTATGATTTTAAGTTACGTTAATACCTAATAGACTGCCAAGTTTCACTTTAATCGGTTAAACCATTTTGAAGTGATGCGCGAACAAAGTTTTGCATACAGACAGAGACAGACAGACAGAAATTTTTTTTTACATTTTTCAAATTCTCATGTCTCAAAACGAAAAAATATATAAAAATTTTCAAGCTTGGAGCATTGTACAGACAAAAGTCTGATTTTATTAATATAGTTAGATATACAAATTTTTCGCGTAACGGGTCGTGATTTAAATTTGTAATATATTATATTCCATATGTAAAATTTTGTATTGCAAATTCTACAAGAAATAAGAGTCTTCTTTTAGAAGATTTAGAGTTTTTTAAATTTCTGTAAATTCAAAGTTTATGAAAAAAATTAAAAGAAATTTAAGAATAATTCTTTTTAATATTTCCAAAGCTTATTTTTCTAGACACTAAAATTCTGTGAATTATCTTGTAAACTTTTAATAAAAATTTCCCCCGAATTTTCCTGTGGCAACTCTTTTATATAATCTCATTGTCAGAGAAGAACCAAATTGTTTATTAAGTGCAAATATTTCGCATATACTTGAATGTTTGTAAAAAAAATTGAAAGTGCAACTAATTTCTCCTCCTGATATTCATATAAAGTTCCTAATGTCTAAAGTTTTGACGAGAAAAAGTTTCTGCTCTTTATTCGCAAAAAGAAGCTCTGCAAATAAGAAAATCGGTGGGGAATTATTCACACATCAATAATAAGGGGTGCAAGTATTGCTATGGTCAGACCGCAGATACACTACTTAAAATACTTTTAATTCGTTATTATTTTACAGAAATGAAATAAATGGTCTATAATAGAGTATAGAGAATAATTTCTCTGAATATAAAATAATATCCCTCTGAATTCATTCTTTAAAAAGTTTCAACAAAATTTAGTATATACAGATTAAATAAATGTATAAAGTGAAGGCGAAAAAATGCGTATAAAAAGTTAATTGGCAAAGCATTATGATAAAAGCTGCCAAAGGCGCAGTCATCAGAGGCCGTTGATTGGTTGGAAAAGTAAAGTTGGCAGTATATATAAAATTGGTTGTTCTCCACTTTGGATAAAATTCCTAGGGCTTCGATTTCGGGTAAATATTACCAGTTCAGCGACGCTTTTTCTCTTTCGCTGTCTCCCCGCGTTTTCATCCTCATAAACAAAGTAATGACGCCAACGCGCGCGAAACCCAATTTCCAGGCTCGCGTTTTATATAGAGAATGCAGTTAGAATGTCCAACAATGTCGTATAAATCACAAAATCTATAATTTTCAAAGCTCCGCTCCGCTCTCTCTCTCTCTCGACTTGGACTTTGGCTAAACAATTGAACCAAAACTCTTTTTTTTTTTTTTTATTATCGTTCTACTCCGCGAATCTGTGTCTCCGGATTACAAGGACTATTTATAAAAAACGAGCTTAAAAACTTTTCGATATTGGGAATTGAAAATGATGTTTTGCCTCGACAGCGAAACTTTAAATTTTACTTAATCGCCAAATTGAAAGTTAAATGTTTATATCACGTATTCTGTCATTAATTATAATATACACTTTTAAAAGGTTTTTGCTCTAGTTTATTGGATTGCAAGTTTTTTTCTCGAAATAAATAAAATCAATCTTTATATGGTCAAAATAACAAACGTGATCCCTGCACAGTGTTTGTAACTATATAAACATGAAACGATTTTGTTTTATTAAATACATGAAATAGTATTTTGAAGAAAAAGTATGATCTACTTTTAATGAATTTCAACTATAGCTGGGAGGGGGTAAGTTGAGAAAAGCTCGATATTCAAATCAGGCTCCAAGTTATCTTTGCGAAGGATAATACTTGGCTATTCGTGCTTAATTTCGAAAACTATGATCTTTGTTTACCCAAGTGGTGGTGCATGCTTCAATAATCTTGCAAAGCAAAATTATTTTCATGAATAAATTTTACTCTTTCCTTCTCATTGCTATATAAAATATATAACAACATTATAACCCAAGGAGAAAATTATTTCAAGGTTATTTCCATCAGTTCAAAAATTACCCCTAATTTTTTTAAATTTTAATTAATTTAATTTAATTTTCTTTAATTTTTTTTTTTTTTTATTTTGGATTTAATAATGACATTAACCTTAATTAAACTTTTAATTTATTTAGAGAGTTGCTCCCTTTTGTATAATATTTTCATTCAAAAAATTACAAACGTAATCTAAAAATTGTTTGCTTTTTCGGTATCCTTTTTTTTTTTTTTTGTTTGAGGATTTGTACTACACTTTAATAAATAGTAAAATTTTTACAGAAATTTAATTATTTTCAATGTGATTTTAATAAAATTTTTTGAATGAATTCAATTATTTTCAAAAGTTTCAATCAATTTTTCTATAAGAATTTCAATTATTTTCAATAAAATTTTAATAAAATTTTTAAGAATAATTGAATTTTTCCAGGAATTTGATTAATGAGCTCCCGCGGGCAATAACTCGATCTGCGCTCGGACGCAAGCGCTAGTACCAGTCGGGGAGCATTGAGCGCCTCTGCGCCACTCACTGCCTCCCGACTGGTATATGTGCACATATACCAAACGCACGCGTATCGCGTAGACGCGTGCGTTTGGTATATGTGGAACCAGCATTAGAGAGTGCGTCCGAGCGCAGATCGAGTTATTGCCC